GCTTTATATACTTTATATATTGTTTTTGTATACTGATAAGTTGGACTCCATTAAGAAGAATGTGGCATCAGGATTGAAGGAAGACTCAACAGTAACGTTGGGTTATGCAGATGACACACCTTGTTTACTGAAAGCGAGGCCTTGAAGCACTTGCTGTGACATGGTCAACACTTCAGCCTTCAGTATGGATTGCATCTCAACGTCAAGAAAACAGAACTCCTCACCACTAGTTCAATAGGCAACTTCATGATAGATGGAGAAAAGGTTGAAGTTGTTTCTTGGATCCACAATCAAGACACTTGGTACCAGCAGTCTGGTGACCCGGAGACATATTGCACTGGGAAAATCAGCAGTTAGGGATCTCTCCAAACTATTGAGGAGCAATGATGTCAGTTTGAGGACAAAGGTGTGTCTGATTCAGGCCATAATCTTTCCGATCGCTTGCTGTGCATCTGAGTGCTGGACAATGACAGAATTGATGCCTTTGAGTTGTAGTGTTGGAGAAGAGTGCTGAACATCCCATGGACGGCCAAGACAACAAACAGATCTATCTTGGAGAGGGTGCAGCCGGAGTGTTCTTTGGACACAAGAATGATGAGGCTTCGCCTCACACACTTTGGACGTATTGCTAGGAGGGGCTATTCCTTGGAGAAGGACATGGTGCTGGGAAGAGTGGAGGATTGGTGAAATACAGGAAGACCCTCAACCAGGTGGACTGACACGGTGACTGCTGCAGTGAGCTCTGGTGTGTCAGGAAGTGTGAAGCTGGCCTGGATAGGACGGGGTTCAGATCTTTTGTTCATGGGGTCGCTGTGAGTCATACGCGACTCGACAGCACCTAACAACAACAACAACAACAACAGTAGGATTAAATATAATCAGCCTCCTGAGTGCTGCTTCTCACATCACCCTCACTCCACTTCCCAGTGTCCCCTGAGGTGTTTCCACTGCGAGCAAGGAGAAGTCAAGCGTTTCTAACTTTCCCCGGTGACTTGACCCCTTCATAGAAAATGGTCTGTTTCTAGAATTTCACGGATGGTCAGCACTTAGCATCCTATCTTCGCTGATCGCAGGAATCCGTGTCTAACGCCTTCCCTGTCCTTACTGGGCACTGTGAAGTGGATTCTGATTCACAGTGACCCCTTGCATTTCCTAGGCCCATCTTTACGGGAGCTGATTGCCAGGCCCTGCTCCCATGGAGCTGCTGGGTGGCTTTGAACCCACAACCTTTCAGTCAGCAGTCTATGCTTAACCATTGTGCCACCACAACTCTTCAATCTCTAGGGGATATATGTACATCTCTGTGTCTTTTTGGATTTTATTGTAATCTGAGTGAAAGTTTACAGAGTAAATTTGTTTTCCTTTCAAGCACTCATAGACATCAGAGTGTGTAACTTTTAAAAATTTTTTAATTTTATTGTATTATTTTTTGTGCACATACCATCAAATCAGATCTGACTGGTACAGGAGGAGATTGTCCCTCCTTCTCCAACAGAGGCGTCTGGTGGATTCAAGCCGCGTACCTCTGGGATTGCAGTGCAGCTTCTTGCCACTAGGCCACCAGAGCTCTCTTAGATTGTGTGACATTTGAGGATATGTGTTTTAGTAGCTCCTGGGGACTGTGTAAGAGGCTCTGATAGCGTAATATTAGGATGCTAACCAGAAGGTCAGCAGTTCCACTCCACCAGCAGGAGCGGGCACAGTCTCCTTCCATAAAGATGCAGTCTCTGAAACTCGGGGAGAGTTAGTCCGAGTCAGGATGGCTCGACAGCAGTGCATTTAGCCTTGGTTTGGGGATCTATATTTGTTCCCATTCCAAAGAAAGGTGACCCAACAGAGTGTGGAAACTACAGAACAGTGTCATTGATTTCACATGCAAGCAAGATTCTACTGAAGATTATCCAAAAATGACTGGAACAGCACATCAGCAGAGAACTGCCAGAAGTCCAGGCTGGGTTTAGAAGGGGTCGTGGTACTAGGGATATTGTAACTGATGTTAGATGGATCTTGGCTGAAAGCAGGGAATACCAGAGGAATGTCTATCTGTGTTTCATTGATTATGCAAAGGCGTTTGACCACGTGGATCATAACAAACTGTGGCTGACTCTGAGAAGAATGGGAATCCCAGAACATTTAAGCGTGCTAATGCGAAACCTATACTCAGACCAAGAGGCAGTCGTCAGAACAGAGCAGGCCAACACTGCATGGTTCAGAATTGGGAAGGGTGTATGTCAGGGATGTGTCCTGTCTCCATACCTTTTCAACCTGTATGCAGAGCAGATTATCCGAGAGGCTGGGCTCTATGAGAAGAAGTGTGGTGTCAGGATTGGTGGAAGATCTATTAACAATCTGCGTTATGCAGATGACACAACCCTGCTTGCTGAAACTGAGGAGGACCTCATACACTTGCTGCAGAGTGTCAAGGACTGCAGCCTTCAGTATGGACTGAGGCTCAATGTCAAGAAGACAAAGAGTCTCACCACTGGACCAATTGGTAGCATCAGGATGGATGGTGAAGAGATTGAGATTGTTCACAGCTTCAGTTTGCTTGGCTCCACGGTCAACACTCTTGGAACCAGCAGCCAGGAAATAAAAAACCGTATTGCGATGGGAAAGTCTGCTGTTAGGGAGTAACGGTGTCTCTCTGGAGACTAAGGTGCGCCTGATACAGGCCATGGTCTTTGTAATCACTTGTTATGCATCAGAGATTATAGAAGGAGAATTGATGCCTTTGAGCTGTGGTGCTGGAGAAGAGTATTGAATGTACCATGGACTGCTAGGAAAACAAACAGATTCATCCTGGAGAGGATTAAACCAAGCAACTCCTTGGAGGCAAGGATTCTGGGGCTTCGTCTGACATATTTTGGACATGTTGTAAGGAGGGACCGGTCCTTGGAGAGGGACATCATGCTTGGTAGGGTGGACGGATGGCGCAGGAGGGGAAGACCCTCTATGAGGTGGATTGATTCAGTGACTGGGGTAATCGGGATGGGTGTGTCAGAGGCAATGCAATTGGCACAGGACAGAGCAGAGTTTAGGGCTGTTGTACATAGGGTCGCTATGAGTTGCAAACGACTCGACGGCACATAACAACAACAGTGCCCCAGACACCAAGTTACCGGTTTCTAGGGTCCCCATCTCTCACTAACCTGCTTCACCTTTTGCATCCCGCTCCTGTCAGATCAACGGTGTGTCCAGCGAGAACCTGTCCCTGAGCGACACACGCCGGCTGATTGAGAAGTCTGAAGGGAAGCTCACTCTGTTGGTGCTCAGGGACCACAGCCAGTTCCTGGTGAACATCCCACCTGCGGTCAGCGACAGTGACAATGACAGCTCCCTCCTGGAGGGTGAGGGGCCGGGATGGACTGTGGGGATGGTGGGCATCTGGGGGCAGAGCCAAGCAGCAGTCCGCGAGGCTGGCCCTTAGAGAAATCGTCTCTTTGTCCCCTGAGGTTCAGAGAGGGATAGGACCTTGCCCATGGCTGCACAGTGAGCCAGAGCCCAAGCTTCACAAAGACGTGGCTTGTCTTGGTTCAGGGCTGCTTGCTCAGATGGGCCTTGATATTCTTCTCTGTAAAATGGGTCGAGTTTGAATGCATGACCATGGCTGACCAGACACTCTCTCTCCCATAGATATCTCAGACCTGGGCTCTGAACTGTCTCAGGCACCCCCCTCCCACGTCCCTCCACCACCCCAGAACCGGCAGCGGAGCCCCGAGAGCAGCTGGACCCCCTCTCCTGTGTAGGTATACTGTTGGCTGAAGGAGTCGAGACAGGTGGGAGGGAACAGAGGCCTTGAGGGTGCAGTCTTGGTGGCCTGCCTGGAAGAAGCCCTCCCTTTTCCATTCCCAGTCTTCTTGGCTCTAGCTTCCTGGCTGGTGGGAGAAGCAGTTACGTTTTTATTTAACACACGTAGCTGCTCACTGAAAGACTGGTAGTTTGAACTCACCCAGCAGTTCCGAGGGAGAAATTCCTGGCAATCTGCTTCTGTAAAGGTGACAGCCTAACAAAACAGAGGGGACAGTTCTGCTCTGTCATGTGATGCCACAGGGATCAGGACAGATCTGTTGGCCCCTGAGAACAGCCTGGTTTACGACAGACTCCCTGGGTGATACAGAGGCTTAGTCACTGCGCTGGTAACCAAAGGCTGGGGGTTCAAACCCACACACGTGCCTCAAAGGAAGACCTGGCAGTCTGCCCCGTGAAGAAGTCAGCCTGGGAAGCCCTCCAGGGCAGCTCTGCCAACCACGGGGTCACTGAGTCAGAGCAGACTCACCGGCCCCCAAAACAGGGAAAGTGGGCTGATTTCACACACATTCTAGAAGCTCCCGGGCTGGTCTGCCCTGGTCCACTGAGGACAGGGGACTGAAGACGGGGAGGGAGTCATCTTGGGTGTGGACGAGTAGAGGGAGGTGGCCTTGCTCATCTTGGAAGGCTTTCACAAGAGCAAGATTAGCCCTTAGCGCCCAGCCCTGGGGACTGGGTTGGAACCCTTTACTCCAAGACGGGAAGGTCGTGGGGTGGAGGCTGGCTGAGGCCGGGTGACACAGCCCTCCCACAAGCCCTCCATCCAAGTTCCTATCCCACCAGGGAGAGGCCCCAGCTTCAGCGGGAGAGGTCTCAGGACTCCAGAGCCGTCTCGGAACCAGGTGAGGGGTGGGCAGGTGGGGCGCCTCTGAACACACCTGCCTGGTCTTTCTGGTCCCATACCCAAGGCTGAGCAGCACATGGGAGAGGCTGGCAGGGGCCTTAGAAGACCAGCAGGGGGTTGGGGCGGGGGCGTTTGGTCTGAGAAAGAGCGGGGTCTGGGTGATGGCATCCCATGGCAGGGACACTGTCTTAGTGTTCTCCAGAGAATCAGAACCAATAAGGAATCTATGGTTAAGTGCTTGACTGCTATTGGGAAGGTTGGTGGTTCAAGTCCACGTGGAGGTGCAGTGGAAGAAAGGCCTGGTGATCGACTTAAAAAAAGAATCAGCCACTGAAAACCCCAAGGAGCACATTCTGACACGTGCAGGTCGTCTTGAGTCGAATTCAACTCGACGACACCTGTTTTGGGATTTTATTTTGTAACCCTCCTACACACAATCCCTAAACGTGTGAAAACTTGACTACTGGCTGAAATGCTTCTGAGGCAGCGAGGAGGTGGTCTGCTCCCAGAAGGTTTGAAAACCCGATGGAGTTTGGCTTGTACTTGACACATACAGGGGCCCATGAGCTGGTCTCAACGGCAAAGATCAACAATACATCAATATTATACACAGAAACAATAAAATGCATGTATACACCTATCCAATAAGATAGATAGGTCGAGGATCGGTAAGACACACACAGATACACAGCCCTGGTGGTACCGCAGGGCGGCTGGTGGCACAGACCGTAACTAGCAAGATGCACTGCTATCCCCAAAGCCCCGTGTCCGTGGGATCGAATCCATCAGCGGAGAAGGATGGGCAGCTTCGTCCCGCTACAGTTTACAACTTGGAAACAGTGGAGGGTCACTGGGCGTCAGACTCAGCTTGACCTCAGTGCATTCTGAGGACCGTTGGTAAGCACTGAGGTGCTTGTTGAAAGGTCAGAGATTAGAATGTCCCCGAGGGCTCAAGGATGAAAGAGCTGGCAGTCTGCTTACATACAGGTGACCACCGAGGACCCGGGAAGTTCCACTCCTCACAGGGTGTTGCCGTGAGGACGTATGTATGTGTGTCTCTCT